TGCTAAGCTATTTTCTTTTCTTTAATTTAGTTAGTTCTTATTATATGGCAGAATGGAGGAGGTGAAGATAAGGACAGGAGGTGGAATAGCGAAACTGGTGGGCATAGTGGTGTGCACCGGGGGCGTGGCCATTCTGACTTTTTACAAGGGCCCCTATTTCGAGCCTGTTTTGACGCACCAATTTTTCCACCACGCCCAAACTCAGGCCCCCCATCGCCCCGCCGGCTCTGCAAAAACATGGTTCTTGGGTTGTTTCTTCTTGGCCCTCTCCAGCATCTGTTCCGGCATTTGGTTCGTTCTCCAGGCTCGTTTCTTGAAGCATTTCCCCTGCCCACTCACTTTCGTGTGCCTTCAATCAGCCATGAGCACCATTCAGTCCTTGGTTATAGCTGTTGCCATCGACACACACCCTTCCCAATGGATCTTGTGCTGGAACATCACTCTCCTTTCTCTCATCTACTGCGTAAATATCTACTTATTCCTTCCCCTTCTTAAAAAAATTAAAGCCTTTTTTAGTATTAAGGAATTCAAATGATCTCTTAACCAGACAAAGGCATGTATCAATTACCACCTAGTTAAACTTTAATAATTATTATTACTAGATGGGACAGGGTATTTTCATAGTTGGGAACCCTTCAATGTTGGGTAATTAAACACAAGGGTCCGGTGTTTCATGCAATGACCACACCTTTGGACTTGGTCGCAACCATTATTGGTTCCCAACTTTTCTTATCTGAAGGCATTTATTTGGGAAGGTAATCTCTCGCTCAATATAATTGATCTTTTTATATTATAATTACTGTATTCATATCAATTTTATTATTTTGTTACTATGTAAATTGTAATCAAAGACTGTGTTATTGGAAACTGACAGTATTTTAGGTACGTTGTTGCTGGTGACAAGTCTTTACAGCGTTTTGTGGGGAAAAAGCAAGGAGCAAATCACTGTTCAAGATGCCCAATCCCAGCCTTCTCAAATACAACTACAAGCCTAAAATTTACCTTTTTTCTTCACTTGTTGTCTTTACTCTTTAATATTTGTCTCTGTGTATTGCATTTTCGGTTCATCTGCAATTCATGTTTCCATCCATGCAGTATGATGGAATTTGCTATCCATTTTGTTTGTCATTATCTGACTCTTACGGTGGGAATCTCGAGAATTAGTGCTAAGTGTTATTAAAAAAAAACCTTTTTTTCAAAGTTGAAACTTTCGAATTCTTTGATTACAAAAGGAGTTGCAAAACAAAACGTGAGTTCCCCAGAAAAGGAAAACTACAAAATTCAAATTCAAATTGGTACGGATATAATAACTGCATCTTCTAACATGTCTCCATCAATTTTGACCTATATTAATTGCACACATCACTATTTTAAAATAATTCAAATATAAAGTCCAATTTCTCATCTGGTTATCTAAAAATTGGACATTCAAGTCCTTACCATGCACGGTTGAACTAAAATATATATATAGAAAACGTAGACTTTAAAAGTGTTATTTTTTCCTAAACATTCGTCCTAAACATTGTTAATTTAGAATCACAAGTTTACCTGTTTGTTAGGGTAATTGTATCTCTATAACTTTCTACAACTTTCATGATGGTACCATAATATATTATCAAATTTGGCTTAACTATTATTTGTAACTTTAATTTTTGTTTGATCCAAAAGGTGTCATACTAATATAGATGTTATCATCTATTTTATTATGCACGTAAACTCGTCCCACCCATCAAAACAAAATTCAATAAAATGAACAAAAATATATTTTTTTTAGTACAACATGTTGAGAAACAGATTCGAACTAACAACTTCTTTGAGGTATATGCCAATTACCACCGAGTTATGTTCGTTTTGGTAATTTTAATAATTTTTTTTTTTTTGGAAGAATTTGAGAGTTAAGTATATTAATGATAAAAGGGAATTATAACCATATAAATATAGTTGTTCTTGATAACCTTTCCAAGTAAGTTCCTTCGATTACGAGTAATTGGCAACCAATCATTGTAGCTACTAAATTCAAGGGCGTGTGGTCAGCTTGGAAAACTGGACCATTTTCTTTGATTACTCATCATTGGGTCCCAAGCTTAAAAGCGGCCTAAGCCCAATCCAAATGATCCAAGCCAGACTCAAAAAACGTTTGATCGACCTAGCATAGTCTAATTAATCCATAAAAGAATATGAATTTTTATTTTTTAAATTGGATGGGCTGGACCAGTCCAAAGGTACAATAAAATAAAGATGAGTATAATAAGTACATATATATAGACTTTTTCAAGGAACTAATTACATAAATGGCTTAAATCTTACTAATTTATAAATTTGTCCAAATAGAGAAGGATACATGTAAATATTATCAAGCTACCCATTTAATAAATGAATTAATTAAAAAATTAAAAATATTAAAAAAATAAAATTAGGTCACCTCCCATGGTCCCATATATCATTTTTATCCTAGTTTCAATATGAAACCCCAATCTCTTCCTCTCTCAAAACTCACATACCCCTCTCTCTCTCTCCCTCACTCCCTCGCTCCATCAAAGTCTAATCTCTCTCTTTTTCTCTCACTAAAGAAAACCGGCGTCACCTCCTCGATCCCTCCTCCAGCGAGAATAATGTCGGCGACCACCACGAAAGCAGCATCAGACGACAGCGACTCCCCTCGACCAGCAACACCACGTAATATGTATCCTCCATCTCGTTCTCCTACAACGTTTGATTCGGTCAGATCTTCGAGCTCCGCCTCCCACAAAAGTTATACCAACCACAATAGAAACTCTGATCAGTTCGAATGGGCAACCTCCCTCAGCCGGCAACACCACACCGATCTACTCGCTGCTAATCATGGACGAACATTGGCAACAAAGCACCGCTCGTGGAGGATGCCGATCTCGTCGTCAGTCGCCGTTCCAGGTGGTGTCATGCTGTGACTTTGGCCACACGGGCTCTAATGCGTGGCTCTGATGCTTAAGTCAGTATCGGAGAAGTCTAGTGAGGAGAGTAGGAGGAGAGTAGGGGGTTTAGGCATACCTCTAGTTTGGCTTACTTCCCTATTTATAGAAGTTGAATCCTAATCTCCCTAGGGTTTACAGAAGTTGAACCCTAGTATCAGATCTCGACTTCTGGGCCCATGTGTTTCGTCGTGGATCTAATGTCAGATTAAGGGTCGAGATCAGGCGGGCACAAGGATCGAGGGGAGTCGAATTAGGGTTCTTGGCCAAAGGCCGAGAACACCTCAGCGTCGAGACCTGGTGCTCGGCGCCATCCACAAGTCGGCCCGGGTTGGCCCGGGCCGACGGTTTTCAACAATTCCCCTTCTGTCGCTTGGTCCGTTCTGTATTTTTCTTCCCTTAACAGTATACTATTATCATACTTGAAGCTTAATACAAAATTATATATTATATAACCTTCCACTTCTGTATGTAACAAGGAAAAATATATATTATATAATCTTTTGGAAGAGTTGTTTATCTTTATCATACTGTATATTAGAAGATTAAAATGAAAAATATATTATATAATGATCATTGGAATATATTATATATAATTTAATGGTTATTAAATAGCAATTAAAATAATATATTATATAACCTTCTGGAGTATTATATGTTTATCATACTATTGAAAATAATAATAATAAAACGTCGAAAAAAAAATAATATGCACTAGAAAATTTAAACAAGAACTGCCCGAAAATTAAGCAAGAATAAATTTAGAAATATAAAATTTTTAATAAATATAAGAATGTTTTGTGTTATTGGGAAAAAAATATATATATATATATATGTAACACACATACATACACGGGAAGTATCAGTAAAGAAAAACATAATACATGTGGATGGTTGAAATTAAAAAAAGGGTAACATAGTCACAAAAGAAAATGGTAACACCCCAGGCTCAGGATTCAAATCAGGATTCGATCCTAATCGTCCCAGCATTCCTCTGCGACTCAATTGCGTCACCGTCTACAAACCAACAAGAATCCTTTTGAGGATGCTTTGTCTTTACTCACATATACTTCCTAGTAAAGCAACTAGGAGGTCACCCAACCATAATTTTGGAGTTCTTACAATGGAGTTATCGAAGAAAAAGGTGTATTTTGTTAGTATATATAGTGACTATCAATTTTTTTAAATATTTCTTGACCATTCTTCCATGATCTTAGGATCCCTCTTAATCGGATGTGGTATTGGTTCATTCATGTACCCTTCTCCCTACTCGAACGTCACAAAATCCTAAAAATCTAAAGTTAAAATTTTCATCTAAATGGACATTTGTGTGAAAATTTTGTTGTGAAACAACCCTTACATATATTAGTTATTAATATATAATAATTTTTATTTAGGAAAATTCTTTACCTCATTCTATTCTTCTAAGTCATGATATCAAAGCATGTACCCTCACATATCAACTCAATTAAACCCTTTTAATTTATACATAATTACAACTCATTAATTATTACACCCTAAAAACACTTCCCCTTCCCATTTTACCAAAGTCCACTCTTATTAATATTCCCCTTTCTCAGATCACCATTAATTCGAACTCCAAATTACACTACTAATAGCTAATACAGTAATACACCCTGATCTCCCTCATAATAATACTCTTTTTTTTTTTTTTTGCTTTCTTTTATCCTATCAATATAGTTTTTTCTGCTTGTATATTCAACATATTCTTCATGTCTAACCAAATGTGGGAGTGGAACTGTGGAAGTACGTTTCCATGCATTCCAGCTGGTAATCCAATCTCAACAATCAATATTAATTTTTTACAATTTTATTTTGTATATTGAACTCCCTATTGATTTGATTATTTGACCGTGTAACAGTAACACTAACATATGTGTAAATTGCATTATGCAAAAAATCATAGTTTTGAATTTTAAAACGAACGTAGTTCAACGGTAATTGACATATATCTCTAACCAAGAGGTAGTGAGTTTCGCATATATCTCCAAACAAAAAATCACAATTAAAAAATGCTTGAGTGATGGATCACTTAAAATTGACCAACTCAACGTTGATGCAAATATTTTAGTAGTGATTTTAACTAGAGAGAGCTTTTCGAACCATTTTATAAAAGTCTGAAGTCAAACTTTCAATTTTCTAGACTTTGGACCAACTAGAAACTTAACCTATTTTACCCTTATCTAATTAATCAACTTTTTTATTCATGGACGACGCATAGCTTTCATTTAATTTTAAGATATGCGTCGTAACAGAACCAGAAAACAAAGCAAACGAAATGACAAAGATCTTCCCCTACAGTAATCAATTTGCGATTGCGAAACATCATAACTAGAAAACCCCAAAAGGGCTCCCAAAAACAAAGCTAGACATCACACCGACAGTCAATTTTCCGACCAAAGCAAACATTGACTTTCCAAGCTTACCCCCACTACTAGCCGACGGCGGCGGCGGCGGTGGCCCCACTACATTTCCACCTTGACTTCCCTGATGAATATTCGCATTACCATACATAGATCCATGGTAATAATGAGGAAATCCAAATGGGTAATCCGGAACGCCGTAAGGGGCGGCGTACCCATACCCAAAATTACCAAAATGCCCATAAGAAAACGGAGGTGGCCCGGTTGCCCACTGCGGCGGCGGTGCAAACGGTATCCCACGTGAGGCACACCGACTCGCCGGTGGAGCAGCCGGCGACGGATCCGACGGCGAGCCGTAGGGCTGCAAAAGGCAATCGAGATGGATATTGAGTCTACAAACATCGCACCCATAGACCCAAAGAGAGGAACAGTCAATTTTACAAACGGCGCAGCTCGCAGACGACGGCTTGTGGAGGTTCAACGAATGGTTGGGGTCGATGACGTGGCGGAGTTGGTTAGGCAATTGGGTGCAAAGTGGGTGCACGTCGAAGTCACAGTCCTTGCACCGGTAGAACAGCCCCTCCACGTGGCCACGGCAGACGTCGCAGATCCGGTCATTTTGGCGCGCGCCTTGGGCCTTACGGACTACAAGGGCGAGCGGGTGGCGGTGGAGGAATGAGGGCAGTTTTTGGGGGCAGTCGGCGCAGTATTCGTGAAGGTTGAAATCGCAGGCGTGGCATCGGAACCGGCTACCGGAACCGGAGGTCTTGCAGGCGTCGCAGCAGTAATCTTGGCCGTCGGAGTGGTGGAGCAATGGGTGGTTGGGATGGGTGAAATGGGATTTGGTGTTCTTTGGCACCGGCGCCATCGGTGTGATCTTTCTTTTTTCGTTGGGGTTTCGGAGAGTTGTGGGATATAGGCGGAGAAAGACGCGTTTTTGGAAGTGTGCTTCTTTAGTTGACTTGCAATTTGCATAAAAAGACTTTGACTTGGTTTTATATATATTAATTTATGTTTAATTTCTATGTCCATATACTTTTGAAACCTAATTTTTATTAGTCGTCTCTGATTTTTTATTCTTAATATAATTTGTGTTAAAATGTGATCGATAGTTGACATAAGGAAAAATTATTAGTATTACGGAAGTATATATGGACATTCTTTTCTTTACGTGGACTGTCACGCATTATATTAAAAATAGTGTTGGGTATTTATAAAGATAGGATGACTGTGTGAACTTTACTACTAAAGTTTTTCCCTACTCCTGTATGAGTTGTGGCATTGAGCTGGTGGTTTCTATGTATGGTTAGATTTAATAGTTTATTTTAAAAATATGGAATACTTTGTGAAACATTCTGAAATGTAATGTTGTTTGTTGAATACATAATTTCAGTTTTGTATGTATATTTTTTCAATGTAATCCTTTTCTTAATCCATGCCTTTAATTACTTAATTAATTCTTTTTATTTTCAATGCAATCCTTTGTAAATAATTTAGCTTGTATCTGGATGACGTCATTTTTAACGCTTATTAGTGTTTTTTTTATAATGCTATTAGTGTTGAACAAATGGATTATAATTTCTTTTAAAGAAAGTGATTTATTTCTTTTTGGCTATGCTGGCATGTACGTTGAACAAACGATTTTAATTATTTATTTGTATACTCATCTATTTGAAAGTGCATCCATATTCATATTCCTTGTAACTAAATATATATATATAATAGGTGATACTACATGACTCCATGTATTTTCCATTACGTTATTCTCAATAGACTTGTAACTCATAATATTATTATTAGAATCTACTAAATATATATATCATAAATTTTGTCTTATTATTTTGGATTTAATTATTTTTATTTTAGGTCATCTTTTTTACATGGTAAGTGAGGAAGTTACAAGATCCAAACGGATAACTTAAATAGCTTGGACCTCAAAGAATATTCTTGAAGTCTTGAATTCAAGCCACATGGAACCCAATTAAAAATATAACCCCGGGTGGAGGGGCAATAACCTGAGGTTTTAACAATAAAAAAAATAAGATAGATTTTGAACATTATATTAGTATCTACATGCATGTAAAATAGAACACGGTAGTTTTTTTCTTTTTTTTTTTATTCAAACAACAAGTGAGGTT